TACGGCGTCGCCGTCGCCTCTGTACAGAGGTTCTATGTCTTGGTGAGACCAGGGTGAACAAGCACACCGCGTCGTTTGGTGTCACCCTCACTTTCCGCTCCTTTAAAGCTCTGATGTTATCTACAACATCCGACGAAGAGCTGCTAACCCCGCAGTCTTCATCCAATGGATAACGTGCCTGTCCACGCGCATCCGAAGGGCCTCAGACTCTACCTGACCACGTCATTATGGTATGCAGCGATTGCTTCGCAACAAGAGCAGTGCTCAGTGGATTAGGTGCCACTTCATGCATCACGAGGGCCTCGCTCTCGATGACACGCATGACATGCAGCGACTGCTTTGAAACTTAAGCAGCGCTCAGTGGGTTCCGTGCAAATCCACGATCAGCCCGCGAGCCACGCTCGGGACACCTGTCCAATGCACGTTAGTGTCTACCAACTCGGACATTTCAATGCCCAACACGTTGACCGTCTCGGTCCAGTGCTCTCGCCAATAGCGCTTTTGTCCCCTAGCAGAGGTATCAATGAACGAAATGGTCGTTTTTCCATTGCTTCTATCTCATCCGTTGTCTTTAGAGAGTCATTTTGACTTAACTTCATTCCACTATCACATGGGTTCTGGGTTGGCCGTGCATTTGATTGATTGAAACGTTAAGCTAATTTCTTGATGTAGTGGCTCTGTGATATGGTTAGCGTCTTCTGGCGTATTGCATAGTTTATTTCCGTTCCAAGGATCAGCTTTGCTCGACCCAAATATTTTATACAAAACCGATTAGTGATTTTTGATTTGATTTCATCCCCTTCTTGAATGGTATGGCCGCTATTAGCATATCATCAACGTATAGGCAGATATAAATCTCAGATTTAGGTCGGTTTCGAACATAGATGCTTGAATCGATCGCTGAAGGTTTAAACCCAGTTTTCAGTCAGTAAGACATCGTTGATGGTCGTTCCACACGTGAGCCGCTTGCTTGAGACCGTAAAGGGAACGGTTCAGTTTCAGTAGTTTGCCTTTTTTGCATTTGAATTTCCCATGCACTCTCATTTATACCAACTCATCGAGCATTACATAAAGAAAAGCAGCATCTACATCAAACTGGAAAATCGATACACCTTGGTAATAGCATACTGTTAATACTATGCGGATGGAGTTCAAGTTTGCTACTGGTGCGTAGGTTTCAAAGAAATTCAAAGTAAATCTTTGACCAAATCCCTGTGCAACGAGTCTCACCTTGTATCGAATGATCTCACCATCTTCGTTCTTCTTAATCGCGAAATCCACTTTGATTCAATAGTTGTTATACCAGATTTGAAATCTAAAACATCCAATGTGTTGTTGCGAACTAATAAGTCAATATCATTCGAAATAGCTTGCTCCCGCTGATTTTTGCACTCTCCATTGGTTGCGTCGCCAAATGATGTTGGCGCTACAGCCATGAATGTTACCATGCCATCATCATCATTAATCCTTGAACGCTTTGGTGGTCGCAAATCCATATAGTCAGAGTCATCGTGCAGGTGGCCTTTCCCCACTGACTCGAACACAACTATGCCTATTTCTGAAGTGCGTACTGATCTACCTCTTCTTGGTGATTGACACGTAATTTGTTGTAATAACATTGGACAGTTCTGGAGCTGGTCATCATTCACAATGCTCTAAACCTTATTCAGAGTTCCGAAATTATCATGTCGGATGACACATCAAATTTTGCCAGCAATCCTGAGCACATGCACAATCCCAGAAAATGTGTTTTGCGCTCAAGTCTCCTTGGTATTGCGACAATGTTCGAGCTTCTGGCAACTGTTGTAGACTAGACATGCCGGGTGATATAGTCTTTCTTAGCTGTGTGAGTGCTATTTGTAAGCAGATTCAGACTTTATCATTCTTTAATTGTTTTTGATCGGCCCATACTTCGTGGGATCCAGATTTATGGTCGCCGATGGCCAGTACCTCGTTTCACCACATGTTGTATCTTGTGAGCTGTTTCGGCAAGAAATTCTCTTTCACTTTGATAATTCTTTGGATTATTTTTTTCTCCTTTGGAACACGTTCGTTTGCAATTGACCGTGATACTCTCCAGGTAAAGCATGAAACCTTGGTTGAGCTATAAATGCTATGTTTTTTTTATCTACCTCTTTGTTGGAGCGTCCACATATCGCTTGTAAGCTTCGAATCATGCATCGTTGAGTGGTATAACTACCAATGGGTCCCATTTGGTTGCCGAGTCAGCTCGATTGGAGCCTGCCATTTTTTCTCTGTCGGTTGCTGTTCCCCGAACTACCGCTCTCTTAGCTTCTTTACACTAATATACGTACTTAAGGAACTAAGATCCCAATGCTTCGCTTGTTGATGGCATTTGTTCACTTCGTCAAGAATATCATCGTATACTCAATCGTTCAGATTCTAGTGATGTTCAGCTGCTCTAGCGTGTATGGTAAAAATATGTTGTACCTCTTGCTCATCAAAATTGATCCGGTCAGGACCGACAGCCTCGAATTGACATCCCAGTATTTTGATGGATGGACTGCCTTCTCCAGTGACATGAGGTCAGATAGGGGCTTAGGAAAATCTAGGATCATTTCAATTATCCACTCATCCGCGTTAGCGGTGTGTTCTGCCGACACCATGACCTCTTGTAATTTATTTGCTTACTGTCGTCTGTGCGCTCTGCCGGCATTCTATAGCTGCCAAGTAAACTTGAGATTCATAACCTTGTGATATTTTCGCTGACTGTGCGTCTTGATAGACTTTGTCTAAAGGATCTTCTTAAATCCATGGTTGGCCAGACCCTCTAAAGCGCGGGCCCGCCAAGTTCGGAAGTACTCGTTTTGTCGAAGGACATGCTATTGAATGACGTGTTTGACTTTTTGCATCTTGCAGGCATTTGATATCGATGCATGACCAACTCTGTAACGGGGTTACACGTCACCTTGTATGAAAGGATGGGTCCCACTAGATGGTGTACGGTACAAAGGTGTGGATCGCACAAGTTGGTGTAATCGCACAATGGTGTGGCTACACCGTAACAAAAAGCCACTACGCAGCAAGACTGCCAGTATCTATGCATTTTAATTAGGTTCTACTTTTTAATAAAGAGAACCTAAGGTTTTAGATAGAGGCGGCTCTGTCGCAAACAAAACAATTAAATACAGCTTCAAATTTGAACGGAAGAGCGTCTTTGCCTTGGTTAAGATTTTTAAGTACTCTTGGAAGTAGCGGAAGGGGATCCGCAACGCTCGTACTGGTTCTTGTATAGAACGTAAAGCCGGTGACCTTAGTAAGCTTCCTCTAAGCAAAGAGCTCTGGCAGCCTCGCTGCAATTGGTAGCACTCATAACCAATCTACGCATGAGTCGTTACGCCTCATCCTCTGTAAGGGTGGACCAATTCATTTCTTTTGCCTCAGGGCATGCAGGACGGGCTTGATACGCTGATGTCCCTGCTTGGCTCTGAGGGTGTGGAGCGCCTTGTTTCGCAAGGACCCGAAGCAATAAACGCGAGCTATCAAAATACTGTGCTAGAGCACCTAGAGAAGAAAAAGTCGGCATCGACTGCGTCCATGGCGCCACCGTCGACGACGGATAGATCCTCTCGACCCAGGTCGCTCATGGTGAGCGTTAAGACCTTCAAAGGTAAGGATAGAAACGATCTTCTGCTCTGGGTGAGAGGTAAAGATGTCTATGGCATCCGCCATGCCACAGAGCATGCAACAGCGCGTTGAGCTAGCTACCTACAAGTTTGGGGGCCGAGCGCGAGAATGGGCACAAACGTGCGGTACTTCGGTTGAAGCGGCGTTTCCCTCCTCTAAGGAGCAGAAGCGTAAGCTTTTGCAAATGTTCTCGTCGCCCAACCAGGCATATCGCGTGCGAATGCGTTTTCATTGCCACTCAGCGCAAGAAGGAGTTGGTGAACTTTGTCTACGTATTAAAAATCTCATCGCCGGGATGGCAGCCGATCCTCCCCCCGAGGTGGTCACAGTGACCGTCTTTATGGAGGGCATCCGCGCTGGCACGACCAGAATCGAAGTCTTCCGTGTGCGTCCGCCTTCTTTCAAAGAAGCGACGAATGTGGCATTGAATGCCGAATTCAGCTTTATGTCGGCACGACTTGGTAGGAATGCACACCCTCAGAGCTCGTCGAGCGGGCCTAAGCCAGTGGATCTCAGCTATGCTGAGAAAGAAGAGGGGGGGGCTTCTAGCTGCCGAGCAGCGTCCAAACACCCGACGGCGTTTTGTCTGTGGAGACACTCGTCACATTCGGACTGGTTTGCCCCCTACGCAAGGCGCGTAGCGTAAGTTTCGTCGAGCCGACGTACCGCTTCTAATCAGTCTGCTTTGTCGCGGGAACCCGAGAACACCCAGTAGGCGCGGGTTCCCTACTGGGGGAGAACTGAGTTCTGTTAAGTCTCAACGAGGTAGAGGGCAGCAGAGCCCAGCCTGGAATAGCTCCGTGCTAATGAACACGCAACGTGTATGCAAGACGGGCTTGCTGGTCGAAATAGCGACTGTAAAGGGCTTTGAGGAGCCATGGATGATCTTTATCAACTTCAGGGCGTCGGGCAATTATGCTCGACGTTCCACGATGGAAGGGAGTCAGCTGTGTGTTGAGGCGCCGGAGACTCGGTTGAGTGACACCGTCACTGTTCGCTTAGCGATGGGAGCTTGTATCACTGTCCCGATGAAACCTGTGGACCTCGGTGTCAAGTTTCTTGCCCTTGATAGCGTGAACCTCTGTTTGTCTTAGACTTAGGTGCAAAGTATGACCTTATCCTTGGTATGACTTATGGTTGGAACACCAAAAGCCATGGATTGATTGGAGGTCGAAGACCATGGACGCTACGCGCACGTCTCTGGTTGGAGCTTCGGTGAGTCATGAACCCACCTCTCTTAACCAGCGGAAACGCTATTCGTGCGAGCACTGGACTGGAAGGGCCAATTTGCTGGAAATCGGAGTAATCGAGTTGTAGAACAACTGAGGTGTATTGGGCAAGAGTCTCGAGCATGGCTCGCGGGCTGAACGTGGAGTGTCACGTAACCCACTGAGCACTGCTCAACTTTCAAAGCAATTGCTGCATGCCAAGAGTGGCATGGTCGAATGAGGTCCAAGACATCTTGGGCAAGGCCGTTATAATGCGTGTGGAGGTGTTACGTTATCCACTGAACGTAGACTGCGAAAATAGCAGATCTTCGTCGGATGTTGTTAATAACATCAATCCCCGATAGAGCGGAGAGTGGGGACACTGGACGCTGAGTGCGCGTTCCCACTGGTCTCACCGAGACGTAAAGCCTCGAGGAGTGGCAACGGAGACGCTGAATATTATCTGCAAGACGCAGGGCGTCGACCCTGACTCAGGATGTGTCTACCGTAGACGATAGCGCACAGCAATACACTCTCGTCAATGATATGACGGGGGAGAAAGACGGCGACACCACCCTCGAGGCTATTATCCGCGGTGGATGCTGTTCTTGAGCTGGACGAGGTGTCCTTCGAAAAGCTTGGGGATGCCTTGAAGACAGGCGATTTATCCGAGGTGGTCATTATACGACCAAACGACGAGATTAAGACGTCGTCACTTCTGAATGCAACTGTCCTGGAGGACACCAAGAGGGTGCTGAACGCACAAAGTGGATCGTCGACCCTGAAGGATCCCTTGGATCCGTATTATCCTTTGATAAGGAAGTTCCAAACGGTCGTCTCCAAAGACCCACCGCCTGTCCTACCTACGGACCGAGGTGTACGTCATGAGATCGACCTGGTTCCTAGAAACAAGTACCCCATGGTACCGCTGCACTCATCGCTCAAGAAGCTCCTCATAATCTGCAGCAGTTTCGCCAGGGGCGAGCACCACATGAATAGTACGCATTGCGGGTACAGAAGCACATTTTCTTTGAGCTCGAAGTCGAGCGCGATGCATATCCACTAGAATTCTTAAAGTACCAAGAAGCGAGATCGGTAAGCTTTTCGATGGTCAAACTCAGCTTCTGTATTAGTCGGGGGCCCGACTTCGTAGACGCCTAACGATCGAGTGATTGCGTCTTTCGTATCAGTAGCTGGATCCGCCGAGTGGAAGCCGTATTTTACACGAAAATCTAGGACCGAACGTGAATACGCGCGCATGAGAGCCGCCCCGATGGGCAGCCTCCAACTGCTGCTCCTGTTGCTCGTCGAGGCGATTGGTAATATTACCAATTTTCCCGAAAGTCGAGAGATTGGGGAACGGACACGATGTCCGCAAGGTTCAAGATGGACTCACGTCGCGCCGTTGGCGCATTTCGTCCTCCTCGCCTTCCCGTGCTAGGAAAGGAGAATCTGACTCGTTGACGAGAAGATCCG